AGGTCAAAAGTTAGAGGAGGGGGGGGGCTGGTGCAAATGGGGGGAGGGTCATTATTTTTCATGGAGGCTAAAAGGGAGGGCCAGAAAGAATTGTGCAAGTCTTAAGGGGAGGGCCAAACTTTTTCGTGCATGAAAATTAGGTCAAAAGAAATGTAAAAATCCCAAGGTGGGGGACTCTCTTGGGGGGCTCTACGGACGGTTTTGAAAATGACCCTAAAAGGTACGCATGAATTAACTGAGATGCTGATTTCAAACCCTAAAAGGTACGACCACATTTCAAATGACGTTTCCAACCATTATATTCTTGTATTATTTTATGACGTTTGATATTTTTCAAAACGAACAAATCTGACCCTAAAAGGTACGGAGTCAGCCGGAGACCCCAAGAGGTACGCGAGGTCTCATTTTCGACCCTAAAAGGTCCGTCGAGCCCCCCTACCCACTTTTCAGGTGACTTATAAATTTGTCTATACACAAAGTTTTCAAAGGCCAATGTTGATGGTCAGAAATTGCTATTTTAGGTGGTCTCCCCCAAAGAAAATTTTGAAATTTCAGGTTTGCAAGATGTCAGGAAATGCATCGAAACATGAAGCTTTGCATGAATTTTTTTCTTTGGGGTTTATTACGCACGATAATTATTTTCTAGTTTTAGGCTGTGCTCGAATTTTTTTGTATTCTTGTCAGATTTTGCTTGAAGCAGAACAAACGGATATTTCTAGCAGAGAAACCTCTCTTAACAGTCACTGATAAGTTGTTAAATAATTTATTGGCCTTAAGCAAATATTCGATCTGAGAGACAGATTTTTAGGCTAGGCCCGTTCTCTAGTATGACTTCGATAAAAATAAAAGTCAATTACTGTCAGATTAACTATCTATCCAATCACATGCACTCGCTTTACATTTGTAAAATTAAGGGCACTTTTTTTTGTTTTTTGTTTTGTTTTTTGTTTTGTTTTTTGTTGTTGTTTTTGTTGTTGTTGTTGTTGTTGTTTTGTTTTGTTTTTGTTTGTTTGTTTTTTTGTTTTGTCAGAGCGATAACTAAAAACGTTAGCATTTTTCGAGTTTTCTCCGGTTTAACAAAAATCAGCAGAACTACCCAAAACACGTAATTTTGAGGGAGAGCGTCAAGGTCAAGGTCGAAAACAAAGAATCTTGAGAAGCCAACGATGTAGTGCATTTTGATTTCAGTTTTTCACTCCATGGTTTTTATTATGGGGGCATCATCTTCATCTCGGATTTAAAAAGATAATTGAATTTTTTCCCCGATTTCATTTTCATCTTTTAGTTTGATCTAATTTATTTGGGCTGCTTGTGTCTATTATATTGGGGCTCCACTTTTATTAGGCAGTGCCGAAATCTATATGTCATGGCTTATTTGTTAAAGTGCTATAATTTCATCAGAATCGGAAAACTAACGCACTATTAACAGAAGAATGACGTCAAAATCGCTTTATTCTCAAGTGACAAAAGGAACTATTTTTAGAATTGAGGTCAATCGGCTGCCAAGGTCGTTTCGTTTTTCCAGCCAATGTTGGGAGAATTGGAATTCCAAACAAGTTCTTCTTTAGTTCGGTCTAATTCTTCAATGTTCCTTAAACTTTTCTTTACTATCATTAACGACATTAATTTGTCTAAATTCTAGTTGAAAATATCGGTAAATTTTTTAAAAGGTTTTTCTGATTAAAAAGTAGTTTCTCAATAGATAAATATTGCTTTGATCAAGCCAGGTTCCCAAGCTTAATTCATCAGTTCCGTTCAATTTAGTTGTGAAACTAGTCTAATTTATTGCAGATCGCTAGAAAACTAGTCAAAGATTACATGATATTTCATAAAATCGAGAAATTTAAGTTATCTTAGTTTAAAAAAAAGTAAATATGGCGGATTCATCAACCGCAGTAGAGAGCAAGCCTCTTGTTGGACCGATCGATGTCGTTCTTCTTGCTTCGTTTATTGGAGCACTTTTGTATTGGTTTTGTGGACGAAAGAAAAAAGCTGAACCAGCTTTTCCTCCTAATCTAATGCCTGTGTAAGTAAAACAGTCTTCCTTGCTTTCTTGCTTGCTTTTCAGTAACTTATTTTTCCTTGGAAATTCTGTTTTGACTCGTAGAACTAATTGTGAGCTAAATATGTACAGGTAACCTTGCTACTTTTTATTGGACACAATCAACTTTAATTGACTCCAAAGGTCTGTGTCCGATTTTTGATAAGGGACGGTCCATTCGACTTTTGATGGGGCGGGGGG